TACCAATACCACGACCGCACCATACCACGACTACCGGGACTAGCACGACTGGCAGGACTACCATCGCTTCACGACTACTGCTGCTACTGCTGCTGCTACTACTACCACCACCACCACGACGACTACTACTACGACGACTGGGCTATGGCTCAGCTATATCGACAAGAAATCGTGATTATGTAGCGTGGTTTTTGATATTGATGATGCAGGCTGCTAGGCGCAGCTTCGGATTTCAGGGCTTTCGTTCTCAAAGCCACGTCGGAGGCCACGAGTCTCGCGATGAGTGGCTCGTTGTCAATGTCACCAGACGACTCCTTCTGGGATCCTTGAAACCAGTCCAAAATTCATGTTGTTTTGGTGTCCCTCGTGTCCAGCTTCCGAACGAATCAGGTCTAGCCGGCAGAAAGGATACCAGGAGGATTGCTCTGCCTGATGTCACCTTGTCGAGACGGCATGTCCGCAGAGCGGAAGACGAGCCAAAAGAATCATGAATGGGCCTTAGGGTTTGCGGGTTGTCATGACAGAAGCGTCAGCGCACCGAGGTTCAATCGGAAGGCCTTTGCTTGGGGCAATCCGGATGCTCAACAAAGGCCTTCTTCGGGATCATTCCTTGCAGGTTCTGAATTCTGCCTGCTTCACTCAACGTAGCTCTCGAAATTTAAAGCACTGACATGAGGCACCTTTTTCAAGGGCAACGTTTCAAGTCCCCAAAGCTGTCATTTCCCGATGCACACTCAGCCGTGCTGCTCTCGGTTCAGGCAAGAGGCCAAGAATGGCCAACACCAGGAGGAAAGCCAGAACCGCACCTACGAGGCGAGAGTTCTATCGTCTCAGAGTTGTACTTTGCAGATGTCTTAGAGATTTTTCGGGAAGTACGTCAAACGTTGTAGGGTTGGGTTTGGAGCTTGTGTTAGCCACAACTGACCATAGAAGTCACAGAGCTTGTAGGTTGCAACTGAAACCTGCGGTCGTCGGCAGTAGATCGGTAGTCAGGCAGGCCGGCAGTGGTTGCAGTGGTGGTGGCGGTGGCAGCAGCAGCAGCCGCAGTAAGAAGCAGCAAGCTAGCTGCACTAAGCTTATACTCTTGTTTGCACTGGTGATGGCTGGAACAGGAGCATCCCTCTAAGACGTGTATTCGCGAACCGCCAAGCCAGGTCATCGCGAAGACGGGCACAGTGAAGGCAGAGCCGCACATGGATGCTAAGCTGAAGACCAAGAAGTGCCGGGCCAAGCGAGGGGGTTTCGAGTGAGAGCTTTCCACGAGCTCAGAGCAAGGTCCAAAGGAAGTAGGTTCATCGTCTCCGAAATGACGATGAATGGCTGGCCCGTACCTCAGAAGCCTATTGAATCTACGTCGGAGTAGTTGATCCCTCCTGGCAAGACTCGCCTCGGTAGGTTGAAGCTTGAGAACGAGCCGGGCTGGTTGGCACAAGCCTCAGTTTGGGATTCTAGCGCAAGGCTCTGTCCTCCCCGGTATACATGTGTGATTACCCAACTGGCTGCAGCGCGCCGCATGTCAGAGACCATAAGGCAGCTCACCTCCGTGGTGTACAGGACAGCGTCACTCTGATCTCTTTGTGTGTGCGAATGATTTCTTGTGTTTCCCGCGTCGCAAATGCAGGGTTTCGCAGCCGGGGAGGCTCTCAAAGCTGACATCTCGCTGCTTGATTCTCGTGCTGCAACTTCTGTCTGCATTCAGGACATTGGAGAGGCGCCAGCAAGTGAACCTTGATGATGTGATCATGCGACAGACTTCGCCCGTCTTGGTACAGCATCTGTGGAAGCATGCAGTCCTTCGGACAGCGCTTTGGTCACAACGGCATCCACATGGTCCCCGCAGGTTGCAGCACCGCTCGAGACCGACCCAATGCTGGAGCCACTTGTCTCTTCGCACAAACAGCCTCCCATGAATGGAGCCCTTGGCCTAAGCCCAACTTGCTTTTGGGAACACAGGCTGTTCCAACATCCGATGCAGCAAGAGAGAGGGGCTTCAACACAGCTGTATGCTGGAGCTGGAAATGAGGCTGGCAGTACCTGTCTACCAGCCGCAGGGTTCGGATCCCGGGACTGGCCGAGACCTTCAAGTTCTTCCCTCCGTGCACTATGGGTTCATCCTACTCCCCAGGGTGCAAAAGCCGGACATAGCCGAACCCTCTAAGATCCTGGCCATGACTAAGCATCACACGCTTCAGTGCAACCATCGATGTTGCCTGGCATTCAAGCGAGGCATTTGTGCTGATCTGTGCTGTCTGGTTGCGAAAGGATGACCGTTTCCGGTACTATGGCCGGTTATCCTTCTGTTTTTCCAGGTTCACGTTCCGACGGTTCCGGTTGCTAGGCAACAAGGGTCAGATTGGCAGTTGTCGAGTCGTCGCCATAGTAGCAGTAGCAGTGGAAATAGAAGGCAAGCACAATTACAAGTTGCAACTGGTAGCAGTAGCAGCAGTAGTACATGTAGCAGTGGTAGCAGCAGCAGCAGCTTCAGCAGGAGTAGGAGCAGCAGCACAAGCACCGGCATTCACTGATTCACAAGTGGCGGTGGTGGTGAGTTGAGTAGTGGTTCTCTTTGTGGTACAAGTAGCAGTTGATAGGAGGAGCACGGAAACAGGACATCCCTCCCCTGTTGAGTCTTCTTTGATCTAGACTTCGACAAGCAGCTGAGCCTCCGAGGCATGGTTTGCCTCGAAGTCGTCTTCAAGACCGGTGTTCCCGTAAGGTCCACCGCCCCATTTTTCGGTGCTGACTCGGAGCACAGTTCCATCGCCTTCCCGGCCAGGGAGACGCCGAGCCGAAAGGCGAAGACAGTGGCAACGCTCAAGTGTGGCTTGGTTAAGGGGTTTAGGGGTTTAGGGGTTTGGGGTTTAGGAGTTTGGGGGTTTAGGGTTTTAGGGGTTTAGGGTTTAGGCTCGTGGACTTTCGAACTCGACATCTCTGCCTTTGAAGTCGGATGCAGCTCCAAGGTGGAGAATATGTCTTCGCGCACACTCAGAACTTTGACGGCTCGGCCCCAAGGATCTATTGCTACTGTATTGCTCTCAAAGGGATCTTTTGTTTCCGAGGCTGGCTGAAGCTCTCGGGCAAGCCAGAAGGATGGGTCCTAGCCAACGACTCGGCTCGAAGCTGAGCGGAGTTTGCAGATGGTGGTTATGCGCCAAATAATATCCGACTGGAGATTTGCTTGAGAAGCCTCGAGGGTGTTTGAAGCACAGCTGATTTTAGGCCTTTTGAGGGGGATACTGAAGTCAGGGACAGCCTTAGCGGCAGGAAGCTGTTGGTGTTAGTCTGCTAGTCGATCTGAAATCTCACTATGCAAGTAATCGTAGACGCACCCATAGGGTACCGTTTGAGGTTTTAGGCAGCGAGCGCTTTAGACATGTGGGAGTATGCTTGCGCGCATGAACGTGAGCAAAAGTGGATGCCCAGCTGAGCCAAAGCCCAGGACTGGGGCGAGCTGCTTCGGCGCCGGCGGCGCATGAACGACCGACCTGCTCTCTCCTCACCTTGCCAATGGCCTCTCCAGGTTTTAGCCCGAAATGCCGGATGCTTTTGCGGCTTAGGCCAGCTTAAGATGAGAATGAGTCTGAAAGTCGAGCCAGTATCTCACCGCTTTTGCAGGACATTGACTTGTGGGCCATGTGTGATGCCTGGGCTGCTGCAAGAGCGTGCTGGCCTCAGGACCTGTTGATCATGGTAGCCCCTTCAACCGTAGCCCGGATCAGCTCCGGTGAACAAGAATTCCGGTGGAATTTGGTAGTCGTCGCTGTGATCTTAGACGTAATCGCAGCGCGAACGGTAGCAGTAGCACTGGAACCTCTGGTAGTAGAAGTGGTCGTCGACGTCGTCGTAGGGGTGGTGGTGGTGACAGGACTCAGGAGGAGGAGTAGGAATAGGAGCAGTGGGAGTAGCAGTAGGGGTGGGAGTGCAGCAGTAGCAGCTGCATGTTCTCACCACCGCTACCACCAGAGCTGTACCACTACCACTTCTGCTACCATCTGCTACTCACCGTCGTTATGACGGTCACGGTGCAGCAAGATGAGCTGTAAGCGGAAAGGTGTCGGCATTGGTTCTGGATTGTGGATATGCGATACTCATGCCTTGAGGCGGCCCGGAACTGGACGTTCTATGGGTCTGAGCGGCAAGGCCGACTGGGCATAAGGCTTTGGAGTTCACGCTTGACCGGCCATATGTGGGAATTTGGAGTCTAGGCGGTTCAGAAATCCGGCGCAAGTCTTCGTGGAGTTGCATGGCACTCATAGAGCCTGCTCCCGGGCTCACCCGTGCGAGGAGGTCGAAGCCCTCAAAGAGCTCGAAGAGCGCACGGTCATGGAGGCGCACGCATGTATCAAGAAACACACACACAGGAGGACGCAGCAAGAAGTTGCAGTGCTCTTGAATGCAAGTCTCCGCCATAGGTGGTAGTGCACAAATTACTAAGTATGCACTTCCCGACTTGCTAGGCCAAGGCCTTGTGGCAAGAGCACCGCAGCAACAAGGAGTACCTGGTGTCGGAGGGATACCTGGCCGGAGAGGATCCCCCCGCCTTCGCAGACCTCTCTTTTTCCTTTGTCTTTGATGCCCTTTGACAGGACCTTCTGAAGACGGAGACCTGGATGCGTCTCTTCCTTTCCTCTCCGGAGTTGGGGCTTCGGCTGCGTTAGGGAGGGGTTAAAACCCTTGGGAGTTTTGAGGTCAGCGGGTCTTCGCCCATGTCCTCGAGAAGAAGGCCAAGACGGGTGAGGCCCGGATGGCGCCAGCATCCAGGGGTATCGTTTCTTCCCCCGGGTCGGCATGCTGCAACAAAACTGTGGAGCAACAGCTCGGGGCCGAGTCTTTTCTTTGAAAGGGCGGAAATGCTGAAGCCTTATCTTGCGTAGGGCTGGCTTCGGGAGCTGATCTCGGGCTTCAAGCTGTCCTCCCGGGTGCTGGCACTTGGACAACACCTGGGAGTGCTGGTGGACCGCTACAACACTATGCCTGATACCTCGCAATCTTAGCACCTTGCAAGGTCCCCCCGCTGCCAGGCATCCAAGGGGAGCAGGCCTGTGATGGAGAGACTGTTGGTGTCCCTACTGCCCCTGAGCATGCATGAGTATATGCAAGCATGACCTTGCGTTTGCAAATGTATCTGTAGGTCTGTGTTTGTATTAAAGTCGCTGGCATAAGCTATAGCTGCACCAGGCTGCACCCATGTTTGTAAGCATACCTGGCAGAACTGTACACATTTTGTCCCCTGTGTCGATGTGTAGTACGTACGTATGTATGCATCAGTGCATGTATGTATGTGTACATGTGTGTACCCGTGCATGCATGGAGGAAATCGATGGGTTGATGGATGGATGTACATATCATATGATTTATCATATTATGGTGTGTGTGTGTATGTATGCATGCATGCATGTGCAAATGAATACATGTATGTGTGTATGTGTGTGTACATGCCATTTACCATGCACGCATGTCTTTGTGTGAATGAACACATGCAAATGCTTGATGTCAAGGCATATGACAAACCTCTGCAGGCATATTCACACGCATTTATTGCAACGCATCACCACACATCTGCAGGCGCACGCACTAACACGGACATGTACGCGTTCGCGTTTGTTTGTGCCTGCGCCCGCGCCGATGTAGACTGGGACTATGCATCAAGAAAAATCACCTGTTGCGGCCTGCATCTTGTAGCGAACGGGTCGGGGCACTTTGCAGTGGATCTCGAAAACATGCGAGGAGGAAGACGACTACTACGCCGAGCAGCAGGCACTGTTAGCTGTTACCGGTTGAGGTCACGGCCTGCTTGCCAGAGCACAGGGCAGGACAACTTGCCCTGCCAAATCAGCCACAGCCACAGCAATCGCAGCTCCGAGTTCGTTCGTGGCAGGCCCAAGCACAGAGCTTCTCCCAAGGGCGGCTGACTCAGAGAGGGGCCAGACCCTGCACTTCAAATTGTGTCCTCGATTTTGTGGAGTCGGTTCCCAGCGAGGGCAATTGCATTGGAAAGCACTTGCAGCAGCAGATTCCTGTGCCGAACTGTCTGCTTGTGGTGGTATTTGAGGCTGCGAAAGGGCTTCACGAATGCCAATGGGGGAGCAATGGGTGGACCAATGGGCGGCGCAATGGGTGGTCAGCAAGGCGCGATGCAAAAATTGTTGAATGGGTGGTGTAGTGCGCATGACAGGTCCCGATAGCTCCCATTCACCAGGGTTCGGCTTGTAGGTAGCTTGTGGTCGCCAGCACAGCGAAGTCCTGGAGGCCACGGCGCCTTCGATCCGGCCTTCGAAGGGACGAAGCCATTCGAGTACAAAGGTGGGAAGCTCGGCGTGGACGCGAAGGGGGGTGGGTTCGAGCGGGTAGTGGGATGTGTCAGGAGGCTAAGCTTGCACTTCTTTGCCTTTGGCCGGGCAGCTTGCAACGAATCTGCAAACATCTGAGTGATCCTGCCGAGGCAAGATCTATACCATGGCTCCAAACGGTGTGCTCTTTGATCCGCCGAACCAGGTGGATTGGGTTTGAGAGATCTTGGGCTTCACATGTCGTGACCTGGCTGAGAAATGAAGCTCCAAACCCTCGGGCTCCCGCATGGCACTTCGATCATCGGGACAGGTCCCCATGGGCATCTGGAACCCCGACACTCAGCGTAAAGGACTCAGCCATGGGCTGTGCAGCTCAAGGCTGCGACGCCTTGGGATGAGAAGCCTCGCTGATTTCCTGCACATGCAGTGCATGCACGGGAAAGCTGCATCTTGCCGTGACAGCGTTGCTTGGTCCTGAGGCCTTGACCCTGCTGCCGGCATGATGCCTGGCTGCCCCTATCCAGCGCCTTGGACTCCTCAAAAAAAAGGCAGGGCCAGCGCAGCAGGCATCAGAGGTCAGCTCTGGGTCCCAAGGCCATCTCCTACCTGGGTCGGACCTACATTTTGCTCCCGGACCAACGATTGCAGCGGCCCCGACTCGCTGCGGTTTTTAGTGAGGCGTCGGGGGGGGAGCTCAGGTTGGACCCAGAGACCGAGGAGGCGACTGCCTGTCAGCTTCAAGTCAAAGGCTAGCAGATCTGTGCGCCCTCGCAGATCGTGGGCACATTCAATCGCGACACGAACGAGATGGACCTGCAGAACCCTACGCTGCTTCAGGAGGTTTGCCTGCCTGTCTGGGTGTTTTACAGGTTGCCGCTGCCAGACTGCAAAGTAGGTGCCGGAGGGAGGCGGAGGTTTTAGCCACACCTTCTGCCGATTCGGCTCAAGACGCCTGCGCCAATAACCTCAATTTGTTTCAAATCTTCCTCCGAGAGATCCGAACTGCGACCGGTCGTTAACTCTTATGATGCACTGGTAGAGAAACAGAGCCACAGCCTAATTACCTCGCAAGTAAGCTTCAATTCGCACAGCTGTGAAGTAACATGGCTGAAGCTGAGAATGAAATATTCTCAGATGAGCACTTCCAGGCGCGCCTGCAAAGCAAGCAGAGTGTTGAAGCAGCAGTACTACGTGAGTCTGACCAACACGCCAATCGTGAGAAGTTGATGCGACGGCTGAATGCAAACATGTTTTTTGCGTGGGGTGACAACCATGGTTTGCGCATGTTGACGTTTGTTGTGGAACTGGCAAGTGACAGTAACTTTTGCAGACTGTTCCTGCCCCGGACAGGCCCTGGCAGCTCAAGACAAGAAGCCGCAGGACTTCCGGGTTTCTCTTGAAGCCATTTTCGTTTTGCAGCTTCCTTTCGCACCAAAATTCTGGCAAAACTCAGCACACGACTCCCTGGCTGCCGTCACCTGGCGACCGTGCCAGAGGCCTGCGGAGCATTTCATCATCGCTTAGCCACAGGATCTCCTGAAGACGGTCGAGGCCAACGCGCCCGGATACACCGAAGCTCGCACTGGAGATGTGGCAGAGTCCGAACGTTGCAATGATTGGGTGCTTTTGTAGTCAGAAGTCACGCCGCTTAGGTTGGGCTTCAGGTTGGATTTGTTGAGAGAGTGCAAGATGGAATCGGAGCCGAGGAAAAGAAGCGCCTGCTGGACGGCATGAAGGTGGCTTCTTGTGGGGATGGGGGCTGAGGTGAGGACTTTCTCATGAAACGCACACAGCGCAAGCCCAAGCTAGCAGAAGTACCACTGGCAAACGTGGCTAGAACTTACAGTGGGGGGCTTGCAGAGGACTTCTTGAAAAAGGTTCAGGCTGCCGAGGAGAAGCTGTACATGGTGACCCCGCCTTCGATTGCGAGTGAAGCCGAGAGTGGCGACAGGCAAAGAGTTTCGTTGTTTAATCTAAAGCCAGGTGAAAGCGGTCGGCAAGGTGAAGGGAAAGATGGAAACAGAGGACGGGAGCTGCAGGTGATCCTCTCCTCACCTTGCCTCGTCTCGCCTTCTCGCCGCCGTCCACCCGGCAGGAGCATGAGCTGATCAACAAGTACCACGGCCAAGACCTTCAGGACAAGCAGAACCGCCCCGCATGCCCATCTGTCGCCTCTGTGATGAGAGGCAAAAGACTACAAGTATAACTAACAACAGCACACGTAGGCTTCGTTGCTGGCCTCGTCTCGGAATTCCCAGTTGAAGATGAGACCAACCCAATGCCATTCAGATTGCAGGATGTCGCCAAAATACCCGAACGGCCCGAACCGGAACCCCAAACCCCTTCAGTCACCTTCTCTCGAGCAGGACAAGATCCAGCTTCTCACCGGCGCGGTGCAAACGATGTCGCCTCACTGTCGAGGCCCACCGAATTAAGCCTTTCACAGAAATCAGAAGACGAAGAAGATGAGAAAAGAGCAGCAACAGCACTGCACGAATAGCAACGACGACGGCGACAACAACCACAATGTGGATCATGAAGATCCACGACGACCTCATCCACGAAGCAAGATTCTTACAAATTGTACGCGGAGCGTGCGCTATGTGTGCTAACCCGCCATGAAACGCAGAGACGATGTCTTGATGGCTGATCTCTCGTACTCGCAACACGACAGCTTACCCCACCTGACCGACAAGGCACCAGAAGTGTGAATGGAGAAGGTGCCTGCATATCAGCTGCCAAACGACGGCACTTTGCCACTGAGCTCGTCTGCGAAACCACAGTTTCCAGCAAACGTGTTGTATACTTGGCTCTGGGGCAGAGCTTGGCTCCGACCGGTTCGCTCCATGCGCAGAAGTCAATCGTCGTTATTTCAGCTGGGCAATCAAATAAGTGCGTGGGAACATTGAGACAAGGAAGCGAGAGGGGGGCCAAGACACAACAACGAGTGAATCCAGGCAACCGATTTGTTGCGCGCATTCGCACTCTCGTGGGATGGGTTTTCAGTTCAGCTTCGAGCTTAGAACAACTTCTGGGTAATGGGCACTTGGCCGAGATTTGTAAAGGACAGTTCTTCACAGTGAGACCCCTGTAGCGAAGCCAGGAGCGGCCGGTCCTACAGGAGCAGCTCGCCGCGCGGCGGACTGCAGCCAAGGCGCGGCTTTTAGAGGGCCCGGACCCGGGAATTCCGATGTCTGCTCTGCAGATCTCTTCAGGAGGCAGGAAAGACCAAGACCGTCGAGACGCTTGGCATGCGAAGAGAGAAGAGCTGGCACCTTCGGGGACAGGGATAAGCTTAATCTTGGGTGTTAGGACCTTAGGAGTTAGCTCTAGTTACTGTTTACTGGCAATGCGCTGCCACAGCATGCTGTCGTCACTCCTGAATTCTAAGGAAGGTCGAGACCATGTTAGTAAGTGTGTCGGAAGCTCAGATGGGGATCAGCTGGGCCGGGCTGCGATGGGCCTTGATGCCGCTGATGCATTTGCTGGCCTTACGTGTGTTGCCCTTGACTGTCAGGGGGAAGTCCAAAGGGATCACCCACCCAGTGAAGAATCTGGAAGACTTCTACCCGCTGGATCAGGCCGGGGCGGCAGTTGTGGATGTGTGAACAGAGGAAGCCGGCAAAGCCGGATGTCCGTGACCACGGAGGAGCTGAAGCGGCTTGACCGCTTGTCGAAGGCTCCAGAGAAAAACCTCAGCCGGGAAACCCAGCCCTGTCAAGACATCGACTGACCGTCACAGACATTGCTTGAGCATGCTGCTTGCAATTGTGACAAACTATGCGTTCGCTTGTCACGTAGTTCTCCGAGGCGACCACGACAGAGAGCTGGTGAGAGTCTCAGAAGTCTGAGTGAATATGCCAGTTCTTCTGCAGTGAAGACTAAAACTTTGAGTGACACAAGGTGAGGAAAAGGCCCTCCTTACAGGAGGACATCCGACGAGTCCTGGCAAAGTCTGGCAGCTTGCTCCCGCTTCCCACTCCCCCTCTCGCTCACTCGCTCGCTCGGTTTACGCATGGATGCTTACATGAAGGCTTGCACAAAACCCATGAACATCCGTATGCTCATGGCGAAGGAGGCGTGCAATGGGTCGTGCATAAACAACACACACACACACACGGACAGATATGTAGATGTGCACATACACGGATAAATGAATTGGTATGTATGCATATAATATATATATATATATAGGTGTATATATATATAGGTGTATATATATATGTATATATATATATAGATGTGTATATATATATATATATGCTTATTTATTTGCCCAGTTATGTATTCAGAATTAATTCTTAGTGGTTTCTTTTTATGAATGCACGCATACACATTCGTGCGTACAAATACATGGGTTTACATATTGTGTTGTTACATAGGTCTGCACATCAATGTCGAGTGAGACTTTTGAGACATCCTCCAAGATGTTTCGCCTTTGCCGAGGATTGGAGCGGAAAAGCCGCATGTGGTTCGAAACCTCGGAGGAGTTGAAATGCAGGGATCTGGCGACATGTTTGTGCCAAAGCCGTGCTACAAGAAATTTGCGAGCCTGCGTCCGTTTGCAGGAGTTCCACCGTCGCCTGCAAAAGGCCCTCATCGAGCTCGAGAAGACCAAAGCCACTGCCACAGTGTGATCCCTCCTGTGCCTCTCGTCATCCCAGCATCCTTTGGAAACTTTTCCTCAGGCCGAGCAGGCCAAAAGAGAGGCACAGGAGGCTGCAGAGCGCAAGCTCCGGGAGGCGGCGTGAACGAAGTTTCTGGCAGCGATGCGTGCTTCTGATTCCTTCCAGGAGGAGGAGGCGCTCGAGAGGAAGCGGCAGGCGACGCCGGGATGTTCTGCTGCAAAGATAGTTCGACTCTCCCACAGCTCGCGCGTGTACCCCGCATGCCGGGCGCTGGCTTAACGGCGGCGGCTTGCCTTTCAAGTCGCTGACCATCCACCAGCGCCACATTGGAGGCGTCTGGCTTCGTGAAACGACTCCTGCAATCAGCATGCGGTCGTCATCCACTAGACTAGCAGACCCAAACCGGGATACCGGAGACAGCAACAGCAACACTAGCGAAAAAAAACGGAGTTTTCTACTGGCAGAATTCGCTCACTGTTGACACTGCGACTTTCGTTCCAACGTAGATGTACTGGTGACTCGTGATACTTCGCATGCAGCATCAATGTCAATGACAATGGGCTTGGTAGTATCACTGCTGCACTGCTACTGCTGCTGATTACTACCCCTACCGCTACCGATACCGCTGCTGCTACTTCTTCTACTTCTACCGCTGCTACTACCACTACGAGTACACTACTAGTACTACTAGTACACTATCACTGCCACCCCACTACTACAGCCGCTGCTGCTCTTGCTGCCACTGCTGCTGCTGCTACTACGACGACGACGACTACTACTACTGCTACTGCTACTGCTACTGCTACTGCTACTGCTACTGCTACGACGACGACGACTACGACTACGACGACGACGACTGCTGCTGCTGCTGCTACCACTACCGCTACCGCTACCGCTACCACTACCACTACCACTACCACTACCACTACCACTACCACTACCAC